TGGCGAAAAACGAAAAATCCACATCCTGAGTTTTATTAAATTACATCAGCATTTGTTTACACTATCTTTTACGTCATCGTAGAGCCCAAATGATTGACATGTCACACATAATTGCCTATTGGAGGATGTCTCTGGCTTGTTTTAGATGGCCAAAATGATGCAACCTCTTCTGGACTCGTTGATCGAAGTTTTGAGCGAACGACCAACAGATCGGGCACTGGCTGCGACCGGCGAGTGGTTACGAACACATTGGCAACCGTCTGTTATGAGGCCGAATGCTTCATCAATGCTTGTTTATCTGGCAACACATACCGGTATGCTGACCGATCCAAGTGGACTTCAAGAGCATATACAGCGAGAGCTATCTCGACAGTGACAAATGCAACCACACGTATGTTATGCTTCCGCGTCTTATTTTTTTTTGTATTGGAACATTGACTCTTCTAAAATACCCGTCCAATTTTTCGAATCTGGTTAACTTCTTCGGTTAGGAATGCAGTTTTCCAGTTGAATACTTCTAGAGTTTCTTTGTTTTTACTGCAGATTTTTATACTTTTTGCAAAAATCACACGATAGCCATCTTTATTTCCATGTATACTAATTCTTTTCGCCTGCGGTTTTCTCTACTGAAATAATCTAGGAGTTTTATTTTTTCTCCCATATTTTTGCTGAACTGCGATGCGCAATTGCGAGCTCGATGTCTTTTCTAAACTTTCTCTTTTTCCTGTTAAAATTTGATTGAAAAAACTGATTATTCAGGCGGACCCTGAAGAAGTGGAGCACATAGACCAAACAAGTGGTTAAACCATTTACTGGAAGTACGCAGCTCAGGATCGAAGGGTCTGGCATAGCTTAATATATGGGAACAATCCAGTAACATTACTAGTATGAGATTCTAGTACGATTGTCCAGATGGTCCTGGTATTTTTGGTAAAATATTTGACAGTGTTGATGTGCATAACAAGCAGCCTTGCTAATTTTTATTTTAGGCTTTTAATTTGCAGGAAAATGTTCATAGTTAAATAGTTGGGCCCTCAATTATAAATTTTTTTTCAGTACATGTAAAGTTTGTTTTATATGTTTGCTTTTACCGCTGGTCGTCCCTGTGATGTACAGATGCGATTGTGTTTTTACTGTTTTTTTTTTTTTTTAACAGATGAAAGGGGAAACTCGGAAACCCAGCGATTTTCTGCTCCTATTTTCTCCATCTTTGAGTCCTAAATCAGGACAATGCTTAAAATGATACATACTGTTTCGCAGAAATGTGGTTACTTTTTTGGTTATGCAACTTCCGGCCGAATTTCTCTGGCTTTCCTCACCTTATTCTCCCGTGTGGTAGACTTGCTTGGATAAAATAGAATTTGAATGCTAAATATTTTACAGTTTTGGTAAATTTCACAAAAGGTCTCTGCCAGAATTGATTTGTTTTTTGAAAATTAGTACATGATTTGAGGGCGTTTCAACTTAACGAGTTTAAGTTTATTGAAGTTTAAGAAAGAATTCTACAACAAAATATCAAAGCACAGAAAAAAATGAAATACGAAGTCGAATAAGAAAGTTTTGTTCAGATAGCTAAAATAACCTTAAGTTTAATTGTGTAGCTGCTTCAAGCCTTAGGTTTAATTGCAGGCTATTTTGTTTTGTTTTTTTTTTGCATAGAATTTTATAAATTGTAATCTTAAGTAAGTAACTAACTGCTGTTACAGTATTGGTTCTGTTGGATTCTGTAGTTTTTGGGAATTATCATAGCTGAGGGTTTTTACGATGTTGAGGTAGTAATTTTTTTTTAGTCACTGGAATAAGCTTTGTTCATATACCACATTGGTCGATTTGAAATACTACGGCGATTACGATAATTACTTTGACGGCCCTGGTAAATGCTATGGTAAATAATTGTGGCTTGCGGTAAATCATTGTGCCCTGATTGACATTATGAGTATTGAATTTTATAGAGAACAGCAGTGTTGGTGAATATATCATACAGCTGTTATTTTGTGTTTTCTAAACTATCTGCTTATGCAGATGAACTGATAACTACTGTGATGTTATAATAATTATTCTGGAAATTGGTTGTGAAGAAGTTTCAGCGGGAGCTACGGTACTTTTTGGCGATTCAGCTAAAGATAAGAATTTGGTTTGTAGCTCTTTCACTATACGTTTGTCAGTTTGCCTCTGTTTTGAAACTTTCAGAATTTTAGTGATCTTTGATCTGCAGATTCATAGTATAAAACTGGAGACTGATTTTGGACAGAATTTTTTAAAAATCGTCATAGAAAATGGCATTCTCAAAAAACAGAATCGAGTGTCTTCCAGCTTTTTCCAGTTCTCAATCAATCTATATTTAGGTAAGTTCAGTGAGATTCCGGTGCTATGTTCTGTTACAAATAATGTTTGGTGTCAGGAGTTGTTGCTACGAGTTATACGATGTTAAACATATGTGATGTTTTTTTTCTTGGAATTGTACGGGTTTATTTTGTTTGCCTTTTTACAGTAGATTCTGATTGTTCAAAAAGCTCAACTGTTCAACTAGTTCTGTTTACACCGGTACCTCATTGACACTGTTATAAAAAGCTTTTTTTGACTTCCCTTGTTCTGCATATATATCAGCCACTCTAACCTGCCAGAATTTCACTCATTTTCAATGGCAAACGCCAATGCTCAGAACCGAGAAGAATGGAGAAGTTGCCAGCTGCGTTAATGACCGACTGCCTAGAGCTTCGGAGCGAGTAATGAAACCAATGAAAACTGGTGTACCTGTGGCACTCGTGATTTCACGAATGTTGAAAATGCGAGCACTTGCAACAGTATTTATCCATACACATTTTTTTATTTACGGAAGCCTTAAATTTTTGTACATTTTGCAAAACTGGAAGATCCGAAGTGAACAGTTATACAGATCGCACAGTTGATATGAGTTGGGTAATTGTTGCAGTGAGAGTTGTACCTCGAGCTGTAAGTCGTTTCATGCCATCAGCCACTTTCTCCTGCACCTCGTCCAGACTCTGTAGCACCTCAAGCAGCGATTTTAGCATCTGCAACAGGATTGTGTGAGAAGTAAATCTCTAACTTCTACGGTGGGAGACACAAGTTACAAGAAGTTGACCACGACTTCTGTATTAGCGAGTCGATTTTAAATTAGATAAAACGATTGCTCGAGAAAAGCGAGGGGGGGAAAGGTTCCCAAATTCTTGCGACCTCTCGATGCTAAAAAAAA